AATTAGTGAAGATTAAATCAAGGGTTATCCTAATCCAAGGAGTTGTAATAAAAGCAAAAGATTACGAATTATTGGTGCTACGATTATGTTTTTATCAAATCTCACAACCGTAAGGTAGGTCAGGGTGTTGCTAGGATCAGCTGTAAATATGTAAAATCATAAAAATGTTATTGTATTATTTATATAGCACATTTTCAAGAGATTATATGTATCTGTCTAAATCTTTTGTACTGACGGACAATAAAAATAGTAATTTTTTGGATTAAGCGAAGATAATTATCACGCCCAGGTGGTCTGACCTGTAATACCCAATATTTTTAAGCTAATGTTTATTACTGTATAGTAAAAATTTGCATACTACGACATTACACTTGTCAGAATTTTTTACACTTTATAACACTGGACTTAATTTAAAAAAAATCATATTTGTCTTTAAAATATTGCAGCAATAAATAATAATAAACAAGATGTTTCGTCTCAATTAATCGATATAAGAATTAACAAACAAAGAGAAAACAGAATAAGTCACTTGCTGTATATGGATGACATAAAAATATATGCAAGTACACAAAATCAGTTAACAAACCTATTAAATCTGACTGAACAGTTTTCCGGTGATATTGGTATGTCTTTTGGTATTGAGAAATGTAAGACCCAAGCAATCAGAAAAGGCGTCCAACACCAAGTACCACATATAACCCAGAATAACGAAATAATCGAAGCCCAAGAACGAAACGATACATACAAATATCTGGGTTTCTGTCAATCATCCCACATCAATCATACCAAAACGAAAACACAGTTGAAAGATCAGTACCTAGCGAGATTAAAATTAATATTGAAGACACAGTTAAATGGAAAAAATTTAATGAAAGCAGTAAATACATTCTGCGTTCCACTGCTAACATATTCTTTTGGAGTCATTAAATGGTCCAAAACTGATCTTGAAAATTTAAACATCGCAACAAGGAAAATCTTCACACAGTATAGAAGGCATCATCCAAAATCGTCAATTGAAAGATTCTCATTACCAAGACAGAATGGAGGAAGGGGTTTCCAGAACCTAGAAAACTTATGTCAGAGACAAATCTCAGATTTGAAGAAGTATTTCTTGAAACGAGCGGAAAGAAATGAAATGTTTCGCACCATCACAAGAGCAGATTTGAACCACACACCCTTAAATTTGTCGAGCACCGAAGAAATCCACACCCCCCACACAATAGACAAAATAATAAGTGGGCTAAAACAAAAACAACTACATGGAAAATTCTACAAAGACTTAGAAGAAACTCATGTCAATAAGAAGATGTCACTGATTTGGTTAAAAACATCAGGTTTGTATGCCGAAACAGAAGGATTTGTATTTGCTATTCAAGACCAAGTAATCAATACCAAGAATTACAAAAAATACATCATCAAAGATCCGAACATAAAAAACGACTGCTGTCGTCTCTGCAAAGCAAAACCTGAAACGATCCAGCACATAATCTCTTCTTGCAGCATCCTAGCACAAACTGACTACAAAGCTAGACACGACAACGTCGCCAAAATCATCCACAAAGAATTAGCAACACTTATGAACTTAATCGAAGATACGACACCGTATTACACTTACATTCCATCTCCGTTCCTTGAAAATAACAAATACAAATTATACTGGGATCGCACAATACTTACAGATTTAAACATTACAGCTAACAGACCAGACATCATACTTATCAAAAAACACACGAACGAAGCCATTCTCATTGACATTGCTGTTCCTAACACAAACAACATTATTCAAACATACCACACCAAGATTTCAAAATATCTACAATTATCGATAGAAATGAAATCCATGTTGAATCTTAAAAAAATTTCAATTCTACCCCTAGTTATCTCTAATGTAGGTGTAGTTCCAAATAGCTTAGTTGAGAATTTAAAGTCTTTGCATTTGAATGATTCAATAATTATCAAAATTCAAAAAGCTGTTTTGTTAGGAACATGTCATATTGTTCGTAAGTTTCTTGAACAGTCTGATCATGTTAGTCAGATTAGATTAGCACCAGTAGGTCAGAGTAGTGTAGGTCACTTTTCATGTGATGCGCGGATAAATGATCGGTAGTTACGCTAGACTTTTGGGGATGGGGTGAGATTAGAGAATAATAGCAGACTAATTTGTATGCTGTAATTCTAGAATCTCGAAAGTTGTTCTGTTAATTTAATCAATGCATATCATTACTTGGTCTTAGTACCCGTAATGATAGAAGTCTTGCCTGAATGCCGGTCATTTCCGGGTCAGTGGTGGGTCCTAATAATAATATAAAACTATTTTTAAAACTAAATATATAGTTGCGAACTGTGTTGCAATAAGTAATTATTCTTAACATGGATTTAACTAGATTTCTCTAATTAGGGTCTTAAGAAGTAAATTTTCAGTTAAAATTTAGTCGCAAAAATGTTATTATTGTTGTAAACTTCCTGTTAGCGAATTAAAGGAACAATAATTTTTCCACGCCCAGAAACAGTTAAAAAGAGAAGTCCCATTTAAAAGGAAAAGTCGTTTTCCTTTCCGGTGAAACCGAAAGTGCTTCCATTAATTATGTAATGTTGCTAAACAAACTTTATTATGAAGATTTTATGTTGCCTATTTTGTTTCTTAGGTACAGCCGTAATTTTTTAGGTAGCCGAGAAAATCATTTAGGATGAAATAAAATCTGTACATTTTTAAGTTTATTTCCCGAGGGTAAGCTAAAGAAGTATTATAATAGGGTCTATCGGCGACTGGTTACTTTCATGTTTTCTAGACGTTTCATGACTGTTTGAGGTCTGCTGTCTGTCGCCTGTCTGTGTCGACAGCATTTACTTTCTGAGATAGTGACTTTTTTTAATCAAATTGGACGCTCAATTTAGACGTACGTTAAGCTCACATGATCACTCCATCTAATTGGTAAACGAACTATAGAACACAGTGAAACGTTTTTCTTTTCTTATACTTACTATAAATCATTTAGTAAAGATCTGTAAGGACGAAATACGTCCATGTTTCCCGTTTACCATGCAAAGAATTGGAAATAATATTTATTATGAATCAAAAAAGGAACAAAAATAACAACTAATGTCTAATTTTTTCTATTTCATGTTTTCTTGTTATTCCACAAAGTGCATAGAATGTACATAGTACAAATGTTTTGATAAAAAAGGACAGTTGTTCGAAAGAAAATCTTTGTAGTACCGATATTAAACATGAGCATGTCGTCGCATCTGCAACTTTGGAGCTTAATAACAACCCCATTGTCGCAAATGTCGGCGAGGTGGGGTCACTGCGAAGTCCAATAATTGAAAAGTCAAAAGCCACGTATTTCGAAGACGCGTGTTGGCTCAAGTCCTCGGGGTGTTCCTCCAACTCCCCAAATCCCCCCAGTCCAATAATGCCGTGAGTTTATTGCTCGTACGTTGCGCACTGTCCAGACTTACGTGTGCGCCTGTTATACATATTTTATGCACTTTTGCATTATCATTTAAAGTACGAGGTCGGTCTCTAAATAATGCAGTTGCATTTCACTGCACTCTCTAACAATCTAGCAGTTGACCACCTCGCCGTCTACCTGAGCTGACGCGCGTCTTCCTGTCTCCGGCAAACTCAATTTGCGCATTAAAAATTAACCAGAATACACATACAAAAGCAAACGGTCGCTTTTTAAACGATGAGTTAGTTAAAAGCGTCTAGACGACGAAGCCATGCAAGTTTTATGCAGAAAAAAGGGAGGAAAAAGGTTCAGCTACCTATAAATAATAACGCGCGAATAAATCGAAGCCTCTATAATGAGTCTTAGTAGCACCAATCAGGATTTCTGGTTTTGGATAATAGCTGCTCCTCCAGACACGTAACCCATCACGGGTACAAATCAAAAACGAGCAGCCCTGAGCTTCTTGATTGTTTCAAGGTCTTCCCCATCATCAATCATAAAATTGTTTTACCTAACATCGAAATGTGCACCTACTATGGCTCTAATTATACTTTTGTGTCCGTTACTCGCTTTCGTTTTTTCTAATGTTGGTATGTCTGCTATTACGATGGTTCAGTAGTCATTATGTTACCCATTATTATAGAAAACGCATCTATCAAAAGCTTTCAGTTAAAATAAACACTCTAACCTTCGCGTTTGCTCGACCGCCACCTTTTCCCCAACTCCGACTCCAGATTTCTCAATTTAATTAATCTAAAAAATGTGTGAATGCTCATTTTCGCACTTTTTTACGTTCATTTTAATGTTAATTACCGCCAGATGTTTATGGTATTAACACTAATTCTAGATCGTTGCGAAATAATTTATTACAAAAAGAACCGTTTCGATACCTTACGAATAATAATTACGCCTGAAAAGTCAAATGTGTTCATTAATGATGTATGCGAAATGAGATGTCAATTTTTTTGTTTCGGTAATAAATTTCGTGTTTCTGGATATCTTGTATGCAAATTTAACCAACATTTCTTATTCATGTCACACTAACAAAATATTTAATTTGATTTATAATGGGCTAATGCTGCCTAATGAAGAGAAAGGTGTTAGAAAAAATATAAAACGGACATAAATATCCCAAAAAGCTTTACATTGCGGTTTTGTAATGTAACGTTTTGTTGATCGGTCACAATGATGTAATTTATTACGATATGTGAGACCTGTGTGTACGACACAAATCGAGTGAAATGGAATAAATTAAAAAAACACTATTTTCAATTATTACAAAATAATTAATTACTGTTAACAAATTTACGAAATTTTGAATTTTTGTAGAATCATTTAAAATACCACACTGGAAGACAGAAAGCGACACCATGTGACATCTATTGTATGTAAACCATACTATTGCAAAAATGTGTTTACCTTATTTTTACGTGAATTTAACTCAGTCAGAAATATGATAGATTAGATAAAAACAGTGAAAATCACAAATATAAATACGAATTAAAAGAAAAATATTTATTAGAACAAGAAATAATACACTGCACAATCCTAACGATTATTATTTTTATGTGGTAGAGCGTATCGTAATTTGGCCCAAAAGTAAGGTTCCCCCCACGTTAAATACGTATTCGTCTTTAAATATAATTTTAATTCTTCGTCTTCTATTTGTCCCACATCTGTATTGCCATAAATAATTATAATCACTATACATCGTCCAGCGGCCATTGCTTCAGCATGCGCTTGTTTAAATTCAGAAAGTCCCCAAACACTCTCCAAGAAATTCTGCGAAAGAATAATAATCGTTCGTTTCGATTCATTTATAGATTTGACTATATTTGAACTAATCAATTCTCCAGGAGTCCAGTTGCGGAAATCTACACAAAGTTTATAATCTTCTGGTCCTTTCTCTAACTCTGGTATTAAAGTTTCTACAATAAAATCTACGTCTTTGGAGGAGTAGGAGATGAAAGCATCGAAAACTTTATTCCTGTCTAAATCTTCTTCTGCAACCCACCACAAGCATAAGTTTTTAGAAAACATCCAAACTTTTATTGGTTGTTGAAATTTGTAAAATAAGGCAGAGAATACTGCTGGCAATAACAAAAGGGATATTACGACAACAGTAACGATTAGGGTAATATCTTTGCAAAGGTCGTTCTGGTTTAAACTAACAAGAAGAATCGTACTGTTGACACAATAAATTTGCTTGAAATCCATCTAAAAAGTATAAAATTAAAAAGTTTTACTGTTTTTGTTTAATTAAATCTTACGATTTTTGCGTGCTTTCGAACGAAATTTGTCAAAACTTCAGAACCACAGGTACAAATCCAAGGGTTGTGTTTCAAACTGACGTTAACTAAATGAGATGTGTCCAAAGTACGGAGAACATCAGAACTTAGCGCTGACAAATCGTTATGATCAAGTTCTAAAACCTAGAAAAGTCAATTAGTTGTAAGAAAACGGTGAATATAGACTCATACTTTTAATCTCCTGGGTATTCCAGCAATGGTTTTGAGTTTATTGTGGGACATGTAAAGTTTAGTGATCTCATCGTATTTGGTCAGATTTATCAAAACTATGTTGTTATTTGTCACATTTATTTCGATATTACTGAAATTAATCCACCTGAAACTATTCGTCACAATTTTGGGAAACTTTGTCAAATTTCTGTTAGCACAGTCTATAATAACTGATCCGTCGATTGGTCTCCAACTGCACTGACAAATTTTAGGACAACCTGTTTTTCTAGTAAGGTTTTCAAGCGGACAGACCAAAGACCACAATTTTAAAACTTTTGGAGTTTTTTTTCTGAGTATTTTAGGTGTAGCACATGCCACGTTTTCAGTTCTAATGTCAAACTTCATCAACACCTTATCTGACACTTCACCATTAAAATATTTGAATAAGTCGTAATTGTGACAGTCACAATGAAGGGGATTATGCCCTAGACGAAGTATGGAATTATTAGTACCATTCTCACGATCGATATTCTTGAAGCTGACTACAGTTATATTGTTAAATGTTAGATCTATATCCACTCCTCCAGGACCTTCCAAGTAACTGAGCTACAATTTTTAATAATTATTTGAAGAAAATGAAAAGTTGGTGCGTACTTACCGTGACCTTAGTGATGAAATTTCCTCTTAAGTTTAAAGTTTCCAGCATTACTTTGTTATCCAGTGTTATAACTTTTTCAATTTGATCTATAAAATTATAACTGAAATCTACTGCTTCCAGATACACCAAATCCTTGAGTATAGTGTCTTCTCCAGAATACAAATTTCTTGACAAATTAATTATTCTCAAGTAACCATTGTTATAAAAAGCCATTGGATTTATATATTTAATTTTATTCTGCTCAAGATTCAATTCTTCAAGACGAACCAAATCAGAAAACGTATTTTCAGTAATATTTTCAATGACGTTGTGTTGCAAAAAAAGGATTTTTAATTTTATTAAAGAAGTGAACGTATTTTCAACGCCCTTGATTCGATTGTGAGAGATATCAATTGTTTCTAACAAAAAAAGATCTCGGAACAAGTTTTGCGGAATTTCCCTCAGATTATTATTTCTCAGATCGACAATTCTCATCTTTCTTGAATTTTCAAAAATGTTTTCAGAAATATTTCCCAAATTGCAATTCGACATATCTACTTCTTGCAAAAAACTGAAATTAGAAAACAAGTATTCGCCGACAATAAGGTTAGGATTATTTCTTAATATAACAGAGTGCAGGTTTGCAGAAAATCTGAACATATTTGATGAAATAGCATTAATTTTATTTCCTGCTAAACTTAGATTCATCAGTTGTCGTAAATCTTTGAACACATTGTCAGAAAGTGCTTCTATTTCGTTGCCACTTAAGTCTAGAAACTCCAAATCAGAAAGTCGTTGAAAAGAGCATTTGTCTATAAACTTAATGTTATTGCCCCACAAATGCAAATATTGTAATTTTTTGAGAGAACGAAATAAACCGCAAGGTATCTTTTCTATTCTATTATCTGCCAGATCCAACCATTCCAAAACGCGTAATTCTTCAAACAGCTTTGTACTCAGTTGTGTTAGATTATTGTGTCGTAATTCCAGTGCGAATAAATTCGGGGTATTTGTAAAAATGTCTTCCTCTAACACGTTAAATCTATTGTTTCCCAGTTTCAAGTATCTCAAGAACTGAAGATTTTGAAACACTTCCTTTGTCAACTTTTCAGGATTAACTTGATATTCAATTTCGAGTACTATTAGCTTCGTCGTCGAAAACCAATCTAACACCGCTTGAAAACCGTTTTCAGGCGACGGACACGATTTAAACGTCAAAAGGTTGATTTTTTGCAGTTGAATTTTCGGCATTCTGTTGACTTTAAATTTTTCCAAATGGGCACACTGAATAGTGACTTCGTTTGTACGTGTCATCGACATTTCGAAACCACCTCGTTGGTAGTAATCGACTGGACAAAGAAACGTCATTTCCTCTTTTGTTGGTTGAAAACATTTCGTTTCATCGTCGGATTGGGTAACTGTGTATTGCATGGTCAGAAGGGCTAAAATCTGCAAGGTAAAAATAGAATTTCTATAAATTTCGTTTAATGTATTCATACGGAGTGTTTGATTTTGAAGTAAAATTTGAATTTTTAAGAATTAACAAGGTAGGTATTTTAGGTTTCATCTAAATAGAAAAATCTATTTCTACAATTGTTTATAAATTGCATATAATAATTAATTTTTAGTTTACTGACTGACATTCATATAAGATAATTTTTCATGCCTAAACCCTCGTTGGAAGAAAATGCAAGTACACCGATTTGCTTTAGTCATATTGACAAATAATGTTGCGGAGGACTGTTAACAAAGAACAAAAGTACTTAAACATTAATTATGCCGTCAAGTGGGTTATTCATTTTCGCCAACCGACTGCATAACACGTGTTTCTGCAAAGGTTGGATTCTATACAGTTTAAAATACTAACGAATATGCAAAAAAGTTAAATACTTATGATTGTGATTTAAATGTACCTGACTACAGTTTATTTCTTTTCAATAAATTAATAACCACAAAGTTTCAAAAAAAACTAAAGAAACAAGTGCTTAAAAATATTCAAATCATTGATAATAAAATACAATTATTCTTGTAAGTGAAATTTGTTCCTTCTAGGGCCACGTGTCTAGTGCAATTTTTTAAAAATATATATTAAAAAACCTTGTGAGCTTGCGACTTTTCAATAAACAGTTAGTTTAAACTAACAATGTAAATTTATTAGTTTGAACGAGTTATGCTACTTCCAATAATTCAAACTGTCCAAACTTGCAGAACACGTGGTTTTTGTACCTCCATTATCGTGAAAGTGGAAGGGGTACTCTAGTTTTTGGAGAAGATTTAACATTTATGAATGATATTTACATACCAATACAGGAAGTTCCATAGTCACTAAAACAAAATTGTTATCCACACTTCTACGTCACTAATATCACTTGCAACCACTGTAAAGACTTTGAGAAACTTGGGAGTGCAACGGTAATTTTGCCAAGTACTCGTTGCAGGTAGAGAACGCCCGGGAAAGGAGTAGTAAGTACCAACAGGTAGAAAAATAAAAAGCGTTATTAATAAACTGATTCCCACTAACGAAATCTGTAAAAAATATATTTGATTTTATTATCACTTCCTCTAATGCTCGAAATGTTGGCCCACTATATCTATAACGTTTTACACTTTAATAAAGCACAAACTTATCTTTTATTTTATTTTATTTTATGAATATTGATGTACATAAGTGTGTACATCTTAGGATGCATAGGCACTCTGATAACACAACAAAAATAACCTTATAAATTAATTTAACAATAAATAATTAAAAGATATATATTGGTTAAAGTACTTTGTGAGAACAAAAACTATATAAAACCACTGTCAACACCTCACCAACCGTCTTCGCAGTGTTCCTATACTATTTTTTAAATAAAAATCGTGCCATAAATCTGGGGAATAATCATATTGACGATCGGTAAGAACTCATGTGCTGAAATCTCCTTTCATAGTGAAAGATCCATCAATGGCGATGCTTCACATGGAATAAGATGATTGCTAAAAAAGTCAAACTCATCACTAATTAATTGACATTCATCACTAAATTATGCAAAAACTTACTCTTCAGCTTTTGTTTTACATATTTAGTTAATTTTCAAAATAAAATAATTGCTACTATTCTAAAGAACTGCAGAGGAAAGTCAGACTGGCCTGGACACATTTGCAAATTTCACGCTAGTTGAATCTTAGTCCATTGTAATAGTACTAATTTGACCCCTGTTCCGATTAATGCCCGAAAATTGTCACCTTCATCTAAAATAGCAGATCGATTGAAACTGAAATGTACAATTAATAAATCGAGATAGTAATTTATGACTGTAAGCTGGCTGACCAAGACGAACCCTTGGCAAGGGTTTTTCCGTTTGAAACACCGTGGGCGTGCCTACTTCTACAGATAAAGAGCTCATAAAACCTCAAATTCCTCTCTTATTCTCTGCATAATTCGCAGGTAGTAATTTTGCCGTACCCTACCTAAAGACTACCCAAAGTTGTTGCAAGATCTGTCGTATGAACACATTTATTCAAAGTGTGAACACAACGAGGCTGATAAATATGTATCACATTGTGTCACAATATTGCAATTTTATTGTTTTTTTTTACAAAACAAAGTCAACGTGGGTGTAAAACTTATCATTGGTGGGTATATGTTCTAGCTAGTTATAAATAATAACGTTTACAAGTACTGAGTTTAAGTGCTGTGATAAAAAAACAAAAAAAACATTTTGCCAAAATAATATATATATGTAGGTATATTAGAAATTTAAATTTATATGCAACTAAAGAAAAATAAATTTCTTCATGTGTTTTAAATGAATGTGGAACTTCCTTATACATACAAAACGACAAAGTCTGCAAGTGTTTATTTTGAAATTTATTTGAAATAGTTACTGTAGTCAAGGTACAATTAAATTACAACTTAGATTTTGTGAAAACACTGTCACAAAGCAAAGCTAACAAAACGTCTTAACAAGAAAAGCGAAATCCAGCCCTCATTAAAATGTTTCTCCAGTAAATTTTCACTTCGTTTAGACACCTCTATCGTGTACCCAACACTTTTCTATTTCTTCTGAATAATTTATTTCCTCTGGTCGGCGACCCCATTCATTCCTGCGCCGGTGGTGTAACGGAAGGGATAAAGAGAAACGTCAAAATACGCTTCTTCAGGTACCTGGAGAGCCATTTCTTCTTCTCTCGGGGGACCCTCGTAATGGGTTTGCAATGAAACAATTAACTTTAGTTGAGAGGATTAGAATTAAGTCGCCACCTGCTGGGTGTGGAACAATGGCAACATCCTTGCCCTACCGAGAAGGACCGTCGATTCTTTTGCTCCCAGGTACCCAGCTAAAATCTCTTCATTTTCCTCAAAACGCTATGATTTATTGTCGTAGTTTACTTTTGTCGACGGGGTGTCTTTGACTTTCTCCCTTTCAAATACGAGAATGCCTCGTAAAATGCATGAAGTTCGTCCGACGAAGGTGCATTTAAACTCTTGCCCATCCGATTTGGTAATTTATAGCCTCTTTCGGTAGTTCGGTCTGTAACTGTAAAATCAAATAACTCCTTAAATCTTGAGGCAATTATGTAATAACTTTAATTTATTGTTCCTTGCTATAAATCACAATAAACTTTTACGATGATACTGGAATTTAATAAAGATCGACGAGTGCCTATTACTATTACAACAATGCGCATTTATTATTATTATTATTTTGTCGTTTTCACGTAAACAGTTGGAAAATTTCTTTGCAAAAGTGCTTGTTTACAAATACAGCCTCCACCTGGCCCGCATTATCCCAAATTTGGGTTTTGCACCGGCTCGGAATTCTGGAATTATTAATCGAGGCAACGTTGCTGGCGAAAAATGTCAATGGCAAATAAATAATTCCCGAAGCCCTTCCGTGCCATAATTCCGGCTGTGTCCGGCATTGTTTCAGGCGGCTCTTTCAGCACCGTATTGATACCGAAGCGAAATGGAATTACGCTTTCAATTTGAAAGCGAATGCACATGGTGTCCAAACACGGAGCTGAAAACGAGCGAGATGGGCCTTCGACCGATACAATGAATAGCTTAATTACTTTTTTGCAGGGCAAATGATTAATGACGGCACATGTGCTCTCGTTGCAATTATAATCCTCTCTGCTAGAACACCACACGCAGCCCTATCCCACTGTTTACCCGTCTTAATGCGTGTTTTCACTATTCGGATCGCTCATTATGCCCAAAGGGTAGCACTCGAACAAATGGGATTAGTAATTAAACCGCCGGATTCTTACGGAATATCATCGTAAAAGTTTATTGTGATTTATGGGAGGGAACGATAAATTAAAGTTATTACATAATTGCCTCGAGATTTGAGGAGCTATTTAGTTTTTAAGTAGGTTTCAAACGAGAACGAATTTTTATAACCTACACTTCATAAACATCAATAGGCTCATATATAGGGTGGACACTTAATTCCTTCATCAAGTTTCCAAGTTTTTCTTTTTACGCTAGATTCTTTGTGTAAATTTCTACACCAGATTTACTGACTTACAAGATATCAGTTTCTAAACCAAGATCAGATAAGAAACATTTTTAAACGCTACCAAAATCAAGCAAATGTTTTCTAAGAGTCTCTAAATCGGACTTGCTGATCTGTTCCTATAAAAAAATACAATAAGACAATACTTAGTATTGAATGACTATTAATGTCTGTGATTTTTTTGTCACCAATTCAGGATTCATATTCAAAATTGACAAATGTGAACTAACATTTGCTTCAATCACCTGATAAATATTTTATTTTTTCAAAAAACACTTAACGACAATATTTTCAATTTGAAAAAAGCACCGGCTCCATAGATAATAACACTTTATAGTAAGTTGACAGTAAAGAAGAATATTCAGTGCAGGCATACGCCATCTAGTGACACAGAAACAAAGTTGCCATCTTTTACCGCCGCCTTACAAAAATCTAACAACGTTTTTCGTTAGTTATATTTACACTTTGCAAAAAAAAAACACTAAGAAGAATCTAAGGAACATAGTGACTAAACTGCAAAAATCTAAATAAATGTCAAAATTGAATTACTGAGATTCGCGACTTGGAAACTTCCTCAAAATCTTGTAATGTCAGAAAGATGTTCTGCTATTTCATAAAGATCAAGAAAACGTTTAACAGATGATTAATTAGCAATAATTATGAAATAAAATTAAGTAAACGTAGCTGAATTAAAATGTCGTAATATTATCGGTTTTTGTGATATTAATTTTTCAATTATTTTTTTCTCATTTTTAAACAATTCCAAAATTAATTAAGTATGTAAATTCTAAAACCTTACGAGACATCTCATATTTATTTTATAATTATTAAAAATGAATTACAAAAATAAATAACTGTTGTCAGCGTTAGCACGATATTAGAAACTGTTTTTTTAAAACCGACGTTTTGTTTACTAAAAATTTATTATTTCAAGGTTACACAAGAGCGAAATTTATTTTTAATAAAATAAACGTGTGTATTTTAAAAATATTTTGAACGGCGTCGTAATCTGACATGTTCTTCATTAAGAAATACATATAGGTCAAGAACCAAATATTAAATAGCGAAATTAACAATAATAAGATTAATAAATGCCTGACACGTCCAGAATAAAAGAAATTTTTCCGATATTCCACCACTGCTAGTTCTAAACTGCAGTGCTAGAATTAGTCATTTTTTGTGATTTTGTTGTCACAATATCAAAATGTATTAAGGTTGATTTGTAGATAAAATTTTATGTGCTACATATGAGCTACGTTGTAAAGAAATTCTGTTCTCCTATTATAATACTGACTGCAGTGAAGATTTCATTTCCATTTTAAGTTTCTTATACAAAAATATTACAAACGGTAAATAAAAAATCTGAATGCCAAGGGTAAAAACTCAATACGGATTCATAAACCACACATGTAGGAGCATATTATTTTATAAAATTCAAAGAACATTTATTATTTATTAATTTTGATTAACGATTTATCATTTATTTCAAAGTTAAATTGCAAAATATAATTTTGATTTTTTTCCAAAAAATCTGGATGCCTATTGTAAAAACTCAACAAGGATTCTTAAATGTACAAGTATGTAATTCTATAAAATTTAACGACCGTTCGGCAAAATTGTAAAATGACGTCATCAATTCTAGGAGGGTATAAACTAAAAAATTATGATTAACAAGTGAAATGTTGTTATGAAATTTTGATTTTTTTTTCCGAAAAATCTGGATGCCTAGGGTAAAAACACGGATTCTTAAATCACACATGTAGAAAAATGTAATTCTATAAAATTTAAGGAACGTTATGCTCAATACTGATTCATAAACCACATCTGCAGGAATATTTTATTTTATAAAATTCAAATAATATTTATTAATGTAAATTTTGAAGATGACGTCATCCTATTGTTAGTGGGGTTGTTAGCCAAATTTTGATTAGCGTTTTACCATCCATGATATTTCTAATAGTATATAAAATTTGACAACAATCGGTCCAGTAGGTTTGGAGATTATCTATCTCATTAAAATCCAGACACGGCAGACGCACAGACGGAAACAGGAAACCTATTTTTCGTACTCTAGGGGTCATAAAATGTCGAGAAAATATAAAAGTAGCCTTAGCTTACGCTGAGGAAGTACAAATAAAGCAAATATTAAAAAAATGAATGTGGTTTCTGATTACATTCTGGATGAGTGGACGAAACAAAGACAAACGTTGCTAAAATTATTTAAACTAAAGTTTTCGTGTCTGTTAAGCACTACAAATATACTTAGCAATAGTCCAAATAATTTCTGAAATTTCAAGAACACTGTATTATGTAGTTCTCAAAAATAACACCACATTTCAGGACTTAATATTTCATAAAATATTACTCAAAACTTCTGTAATCTATGTAAAATTTGATCTTGAATACACACAATTACGAAAGAGACGGGAATTTCAAAACACCATTATTTCCAATACCGAGAGATCAAAACAGCCATAGATTTTTGAGAGTTTGCCTTTGATAGTTGCATTTTCAACTGAAACTTTCTAATCGATGGTAATTTGACAAAACGAAAACACTATCAAAGACCAATTTTCGAAAATTCATAGCTGTCTTTTATTGTGGTTATATTGCCTTTTCGGTATAAACAGGCTTATCGATTTTTTGGGATGCGTAGACAAATTTTGTTTGAATTTTTATTACTTACACTATACAATTTCAGCGGAATCTGTTCGGTAGTTTTGAAGATTATCTGCCTTATAAAGTTATTAATTACTGACAGAGAACAGACGAAACTTTCATTCTCTTTTTGTGCGGGCTGTTAAAAGCCAAGAAAACAGGAAATTACGCATTTGTCAAATTAACTCGATTAAGATCCTATTAACTATATCTTCTACTGGTAAGATTACAAGTTTATTAAAGCAAGCAAAAAATTAATAAAGTATCTCAGTAAGTACTTAAGCTTTTAATATCACTTTAATTACTGTTTTTTGATTAGTTGAGTTTGATTTTCAAAGAAACCGTTTTTCAAAAAAGGCTGTAAAATTATTAACACTTACAATACCAGATTTTCGACGAAGAAAATAATTAGCATTAATTAAAAAATTAAAAAGAATGTGTGCATACTTATGCCATCTAGCGTAGAGTAGATAATACATACCTACCTTTGAGATGTTAGATATTATATTTTTAACACAAATTAAAGATAATATTTTTTAATTGCTGTATTGTTTTTTTCGATTCATTTGTACCTACATAATTTGATTTTACAATTATAATAATTTTCGAATAACTATTAGATTTCAAGACGGGCTTGAAATCCACCCATGTGCATATAAACAAACTCCCCGTTTAGAGTCGCTCCAACCCTAAACACACAAGAATCTCTCCACCCATTATCCGACTACACGCCAATAAAACTCCCCTTCAGCCTCCGGATGGGTTATTTTTGATTTTTTTATTTGCCATTTCCATAATATCGTAGTGATAGTGGCTCGTATACAGTCGAAGGCTTGATAAAATTCCCGTATATTTATAGCGGGACTCCACCTATACCTTAGCAGGGGTAAATACCCCGAGGAGACACTAGGTCTATAGACATTCAGACTCTCCCGGGACCCCCGAATCCCTCCGTTCCGTGGATTTTTAAAATTTATGGCGTCAGCGGGACCCGCCTGCA